TTTGCCTGGCCCACAGTCAGGGCAAATCTCTCTCACCCGCCAGTCCCAAGCCTCTCAAACCCGATCAAGTAAACACAGAGACTTATATTGGTTTCAAACTGTATGGCCGTGGCAGGCTTCTTGCTAACTGTTCTTACAGCTTAAATTAATCCATTTCTATTAATCTATACCTTGCCACGTGGCTTGTGGCTTACCGGTACTTTACATCTTCCTTGTCCTGATGGCGGCTGGCAGTGTCTCTCTACTCAGCCTTCCACTTCCCAGCTCTATTCTCCTCCTTGTCCCGCCTATACTTCCTGCCTGGCCACGGGCCAATCAGTGATTTATTCATTGACCAATCAGCAACACATTTGACATACAGACCATCCCACAGCAGCATTCTGGTTATGAATTGCCATCAGCTCTAAGCAGTCAGGCCAAAAATTAAACTGAGCAGCACATCAGTGCAGTTGTGTGGCATATTGGGACCAGGATATAGATCTGAAGTTTCTGTCTGTTGGTAAACCATGTTAAGGTTAATTCTGAGGCCTGGAGACAAGTAAATTCATCATGTTCTCTGTGGAACTACACTCTGCGAAGAAGACATTGAGAATACAGACCACAGTGAGGTCAGGTGGATGACAATGCGCCCCCCCCCCCCCCCGCTATGGGAGGAGCCTAGCATTGACTGAAGAGTGGGTGGTACTCAGCTCAGGACTGATTAAATGCCTAGGAATGGAATATCTCCATCATAAAGTAGGTATATTCTTAACTCTGTGAAGCTGTTTTTTTAAGTGGTATGTCATATCTATTAAAAAATAGAAAGCTTTTTGCTCCATATCCTTGCCATGGCATACTAATCCTTGTCTTCTAGCTATTTTATTAGGAACCCCACCTACCTTAATATAGTTAATTTGAAATCCTCTTATGTCCTGTGGACACTTCCTTTGTCATCCCAAGTTCTCCTGAGAATTTATTGTCAGAATAAAATGTATTCAAAATTCCCATCTCGAAACTCCCTCCAGCGCCTCTGATCTGTTTCCATCGGATTCTACAAAAACTTGTGTGGTTCCTCTCTGCGACAGCCAAAATGGTGAAGCTGATCGAGAGCAAGGAAGCTTTTCAAGAGGCCCTGGTGTCTGCGGGTGACAAGCTTGTAGTTATGGACTTCTCTGCCACGTGGTGTGGACCTTGAAAAATGATCAAGAACTTCTTTCATTCCCTCTCTGAAAAGTATTCCAGTGTGGTGTTCCTTGAAGTAGATGTGGATGACTGCTAGGATGTTGCTGCAGACTGTGAAGTCAAATGCATGCCCACTTTCCCGTTTTATAGAAAGGGTCGAAAGGTGGGTGAATTCCCTGGAGCTAACAAGGAAAAGCTTGAAGCCTCTACTGCTGAATTTTCCTTATTATGCCCTGAAAAATAGAAGCAGCCACCAGCTGTGTAAACCTGTAACTTCTTTAATTTTCAAAAAGATATGAAGTGTGAGGAGAGGCTATGCCCAACTGACATCTGATTATAAATGACAATAAAATATTAATTCTACCCTTTTAAAAAAATTGCCATCTCAAATTTTGGGTGCTTATTTTAAGTCATGAGAGTGGCTTATATTTTATGCTCAGGTCTCATGGTGAGTGTTTATATTCCTATTGTTTTCCAAGACTGTGCTTCCCCTATTCATTTCAGTATGGCATTTTTGAAGAACAAACATTACAGTATGGCTGAGTCTATATTACTGATTTGTAAACATTTTGAAGTTTGTGTCTTTTATGCTTTAAATTTTCCAAACCCACAATATTACAATTTCCTCAAATTTTTTGAAAATTTTGGAGTTTGAAAATTTTGTATTTATATCTATTATTTTAAATTTTCCTATTTTTATTTTTCCATCTTTTCAAAGTTTTTTTTTCTGTGTAAAATGTGAAACTGTGGTCAGTGGTCACTTTCTAGAGCATAGCTCTGCTATATAAGCAATGCCATTTTAATATGTTCATTATGAAAATATTTTCATACTTTCATAAGGCATGCACTTCTGGAATCTCTTATGTTCCATTTTTCTTTCTCTAGAATTAGGCATTTCTTGGAATACTATAGCTTTTCTTATGATAAAATCCTCTAACTTTGCTTTCTTTAAGATTCCATCAAACATTTGAAATTCGCTGTTCGGTTTCAATAACAACAACGGAATGTCTCCAAGGAGTCTGATTTTTGAGTCACTATCTCATTGTGCAGCACAGGCTAGCCACAAAACCCAGCTCTTCTTTTCTTAGCCTCAAGCTGGCAACACTGGAGTGTGCTACCAAACCCAGCAGCTTCCTTAGCTGAGTTCTCAGCAACCCAGGGATGACGATGCCTGGTCTAAGTATGTGTCTTCTTATCTTAACACATACATCTGTGTAGCTGTTCTTTCAACTCTCTCAGTCAGCCTTCAACATTTTCAACAAACAGGGCTTGTATACGTTTGTCAAACTTATCTGTGCGTATATTAGGTGGTTTTTTTTTTTTTTTTTTTTTTTTTTGCTGTTATGATGTCTTTCTTTCAAATTCGGATTTGTTTCCCTATTAAGTACATGTACAAGCAATGTTTTTTTTTTTCCTCCATCCTTGGGTACTGTAAACATGCTAAGTTCACCTATCAACTCTCCCGGTACCTTTGTAGACTCCAACAGCTTTCTTGCACAGGTGGCCACAATGTTGAAAAGACAATTTTTCATCCATTGCCTCAAATGGAACAGGTGTGTTTGTATTTTCCTGTAGTACACTGCCAACAGGACAGTGGCCAGGAGAAGTGGTGCAAGTAGACATTATTGTTCACTTAAGGTCAAAGCATCCAGATTTTCCTGATGATATATATTTATCTATTACATGTGTGTGCATCCAGTAAAGCTGTTCTTTGTCAGGGTGAGGAATGCCCTTCTATTATGTCTAGTTTGGTAGAGATTTCATTAAGCGCTGGTAGGCTTTCTTAAGCTCTTTCATCTATTTATTCTTTAATAATCTAGTCATCAGATTTTTTCTGAACCTGCTAAAGTGGTAAATCACAGATACACTTAAGCTCTACCCCTACTTGCATTCCCCATGACAATGCCACCTATTTGTAATGTACTAAGGTTTGGATATGTTATTATATACACTTCCCTAACTTTTTATTAAGAAAATGTTACGTGTGTGATGGGAAGTGTTTTGAGTTTTTGTCTGGGTTTTGCATTGAGATAACACTGGCCTTGTAGAGTAATTCAGAGTAATTCCTTTAAAGTTCAATGCTGAGAGGACTCCAAAGAGAGAGGAGAAAGTACAAAACAGGGAATCAACTTTGATAAGAGTTTTTCTTCAACCTGAATAATTCCCTAACTACATTATGGATGAGAAACACCTGAAAATTCATTTAAATCAGCTTGTATATTAGAAGGTCTGAAATGGGTACTCTAACTATCTCTTACCAGGAAACAAATCTCTCAGATGTTAGAAAGCAGGTGAGTCACCTGCTGAGCATACCTCCCTCCTTCAGTCAGTGCTTCCTAATGTGTCTGCTAGACCTAAAGCATCACAGTCACCTGAGGACTTACTGAAATCCAAAATTTCTGTACGCACTGGAGTGTGCTAGTCAGTAACTCACCAGGAGCAAGTGAGGGTGGCCTGTCCTCTAGGAGCTTTCAAGGTGACTGAAAAGCACACTGAAGTTTGAGGAACCGCTAATTAAATTAGTGAAGAGGGAGGGAGGAATAGAGGTTAGAAAGAGATGGAGGGAGGAAAAAAATGAATGAGAATGAATTGCTAATTTTGTGTGTTTTACTTTAGAATGTTGGAAATTTTTCTCTGTACAGGCTTCATTTTTGTTAGGACCTGTGAAATATCTGAGAATAAGGGATGTTTCACTGAGTCAGATGTTTGAGTATAATTTAAGTAGATGGACGAACCTGAGTATGCAAACTAGTGAGCTGATGGCATTGTCTGGGACTTGATGCCCACCTAAGAAACCCAATTTTCAACCTTCATCTCTTATAAAATACCTGCCCTGTAGCATAGTATTCTTGGTGTACTATGAAATGGTTAACGTGGTGTGAAGGTTATAGTTTTCTTGAATTTTTATAGGGATATGTTGCCAAATGGATGAATGGGAAAGTACATGGGAACAGTTGAAGAGAGTATTTGCAAATGAGACAATGATTATAATTATGTCCTATGGTGTTTATGTGTTTAAAGACAGAAATGAAAACAAAAGGATGGTAATTTGCAGAGAAAGTTCTAGAGTCTCTGGATCCAGAGCTCTTAATAAGGTGAAAGAATTGTTTTACTAAGCATATTTTAGAAAAGGAGTTGGGTGTAAATTGTAGTGACTGAAAAGTGAAGTGTTGGAATTAGCATGTTTTGTAATGACAAGAGGCAAGGTGCCACATTGGTATAGAGGCTGGTGTCTCCTGTGCTAGAACATGGGCACGGAGATGGCTACGGACATGGTGAACATGATATTTGTATAAATACTGAAAATCTCTTTCATAAAGTGATGTCAATATCAGAGTAATAGAAAGATGAATAACGGCTAGATCATCAAGGATCCAACAAAACTCAGATGACACAGAGATCTGAGCACCACAGAATAAAAACTCAGTTGTTGCTGGCACCAGAAAGTGCAGACACCCTCATCTTGTAGCTCATTAATCAGGATCCACCACAGTTCCCAAAACATATGCTTCTACAGTGTTCAGAAGTCATAGAATTCCCTTTAATATTTATCAAGTTATTACAAGTATGAGCAAGAGTACTTATGTGACTGTACAGATACCAAAAGGAACAAATTAAAAGTAGTAGTCAGTTACTGTATAGATCTCTACAAGGAAACTGAGTCATAATATCTCCCTCATGTTTTTCTCCCATTCACAACAGGAACAACAACATCAAAAAAAAAAAAAAAAATAAGGTTGGCTTTGAAAGACTCCCACCAGCTCAGAAGTACAAAGATGGAGATTTCTGCCTCTGTGCCCCACTGGCATCCATTCTAATTCTGTTTTTCAAATTCACAGAGAGTGAAGATGTTTATCAAAGGCAGGTGCTGTCAATTTCATGTATCATCTTTGGAATTGTCATCGTGGGCATGTTCTCTGCAGCATTCTACTTCAAAAGCAAGTAAGACCATTTCTCTGGTGATTAAAGGTTACGTCGGAAAGAAAGCTCTTTTCCTCTATGGTCTCAATTTCAGCTCCAAGCAGAGGGATCCTTTGCACATTGGTTCAGCAGTGATCTGCAGAGAATTAGAGCAGTCTATGGACCACCGTGAATGCAGGCAGCCATATGTGTGTGTGTGGTGGGGGGAGGGTTCTCAGACACACATTGGAAGAGGTTTCAGACAACTTGGTCACCTCTCTTCATTAAAGAAAGGCTCAGCAGCTTCCACTAAAAGGCTAACTAACTCTCTTTGCCAGGAACTAGGGTGGGGGTGGGGGAACCACTGCTGAACCTAGATGCTATCAACCATTGTCAATAGGAAAAGCATTTTCCAGGAAAAAAAGCAAAGAACTACAAAAAAGTATCAGTTTACTTTCAAACAGTTTTTGGCTTGTACTCATAAAATTTAAGTCACATTTAATGAAAGAACACCAAAAACTGTGCATGAGTTCACAGTTTGGGATATAGAACTTGAACATGCTCTGAATTTCACTTGCCAAGAAACTATCTGCAGATGAAGGGACTTATGATGATTCATAAAATAGAATTAAAAGTATATTATATCCATATTAATGTGTTCATAACTCTGTGTTTTTATAAATGAACATGGATGAAATTATTTATGGAAATGATGTCATCTGTACGTAAGATAGGAATTGCAGATCCAAGTGTTAGTCTATTGGGTTCTTGAACCTTAAGACATTGGCTCTAGTTACATGGCTGCAGCCTGTCTGAAATCATAGTCAATGCTCAATTGCCTTTCCTTGGACCACTGTTTTTCTGTTCATTTTCTCTTCCAAAAATGGAGCACTTTGCAGATACAGTTTGTAATCTCTGTCTGTAAGTCATACATGTCAATTTTTAAAGAGAGCTACAATTATGACTTTAAATAAGAAATATTGAGGCATAACTACAGGATTAGTGACTATTATTTCAACAAACTTTTTTTTTCAAATGCTTTTAGAGTTTCAGAACTACTATAATAACAGCACTGAGAATTCTCATGCACTCTCTACCTAGTGCCCTGTTATTAAGTCTTGTATTAGCATGGTATTCTTGTCACAATAATATCCAATAATTGTACTGTGTAACTAAAGTCCATACTTTCAGCCTTCCTTAGTTTTTGACATAATGTTTTTTTTCTTATTCAGGCCCCTTTCCAGCACACCATATAACATTTCCTGTCACATCTTTGTACCTATTGACTGTGACAGTGGTGATCTCCAAACACGTGCCAGGCACACTGGGATTTTAGTGATTAACTCTCTGACCTTACAACTTTTCAGGTTTTTTTTTTTTTTTTTTTTTGCTGCATTTTCAAATAATATATTAGTCAGCTTCCATTGTCCTAACAAAAAGGTGAGATACTGATCTTGCAAAGCTTTATTTGGACTCAGTTTTGTTCATTTCAATCAGGATTGATTGGACCTATTGCTTGTTGTGACAGAATGTGACCACACATCATGGTTTCAGTATGGAGCAGAAGAGAGCCTCTGCCTCTGGGCAGAATTGTGAAGCAAAAAAGAAAGGGGGGGCATGTCTCACTCTCCCCTTCAAGGGAATATCTTTAATAACCAGAAGACCTTCCAATAGGTCCACGTTTTAATGTCTCCACCAATTGCTCTGAGCCAAGCTGGGGACTAAGCCAATACACAAGCCCTTAGAGAACAATACTAGATACTATGGGAATTTATTTTAAAATATTAAGTTGTGAAAGGAATAAAGTAGAAAATTACAAATATGGTACTGTGACTCCCAGGAGTTCTAGTTTAAATCTATGCTATAAGCTATATTACTAAATTGGCTTATATAGTCTTGTAGCTGAATGGCAAAGCTCCTAGTTGGGAGTTTCCCTGCTTTGGTGGAGCCCCAGTGAGGCCATGTGAGGGTACTGGTTGGGATATTATATGAGCCACGGGTGCATTTGAATCTCCAATTTGCCATTGATTCGTGTTACTAGGAATATTTCCTTCCTGCTTTCTTTTTCCAAAAATACAAATTAAAAAAATACCTTATAAAAGCAGGGCGAGAGCTAAATGAGATGGTGCTGTGAATGGCGTTGCTTAGTATTCAAATCGGAAACACTTCAAATCAGAAATGGCCAACCTGAGTTGGTAACACTCATGGCTTTCCACTCCGGAACTTGGAGGCTGGATAGCTATCAAATTCAGAGCAGTACTCAAGCCCACAAAGGGTAGTCACACCCAGCTTGGCATTAGAGGTGTCTGCTTTTAACAGCTGTGTATGAGAAAGAAATTGGGAAGTAATATTATATTTATAGAGCAATAAGTAAATTGCTATGAAGACAAAACTAATCACTAATTCCTAGAGTACAATTTGCAGTTTTAACACATTTAAGCAAAAGATTGATTATAGTCATCTTAACAATGAAAGCAAGCAAGTGCAGGATGTGTGGCATCAGGACCATCAGTCTTTCTCCCTGGACCACAGGGGAGCTCTGAAACCAACATCTGTTGCCAGGGCATAATGAGGAGTCAGAGTGTTTAAAGGAAACACTGTTAAATACTGGCTTCTTCACGGGAGACTTAGAGGACCACACTGATGGAACAGCACACACTGGGATGCTCTGCTTCTACCTGCCTTAGCTAAGGAGCTATTGGCAATTCATGGCTTTTGGGAGAAGAAAAGTCAGTTTCCTTCAAGAATGCAGATCCTGAGAGGCCATCTATGCTCTAGTAGATGGTCCTATGCCCATGCACATGCAGGAAGCACTAAGTTGACTTGGTGGGTTAAAAAAAAAAGAGCACATGAACTTGAAGGGAAAAATGGTGGGAAGAGAGTAAAGGAGAATTTTTAGGGGAGATGTGGGGTGGATTTGGTCAAAACATATTACAGGAATGTATGAATTCTAAATAAAGTAAAAATATGGTGGAGAATAGAAGAAAAGATAAAATAAATAAGTTTAGATAAAAATAGCATTAATAAAAATGAAAGGCCTTTCCAACTGGAATCATATTGCTCATCAGAAATCTTCCCAATTCTGAGAGGTATATTTCATGTCAAGCACTATCTCCCTCCTACCAAAATTGAATGTCCATTGTTATAACACCCACATGTTTCTCTTATTGATTCATGGATTCCTCATTCCTTTCCCCCAATATTAGAGATAAAAGAATAGGCTTGATCTTAATTTTCATGCATAAAATACAGATATGTAATATATAATATGGATATATAGGATACAATATATATTTTTTTCAGTCTTGGAAGCCCCAGTTCTAACAAGATCATAAAGCACTTTTCATTGCTCTCCAAATGAGTTCACTGAGTTATGTATTTGATGGACTGAGATCTAGCCTTCTGGGTAGAGCAAGCTGGTACTTAGTGAAAAGCTCCATGCTCACAGCCATTTATGTCCTATTTCCCATAAACACTCAGATTGCTTCTCTGGTCTTTTCTCCCTGTTCTTGCTATACTTGCACTGTGTGACCTCATCAAATGCTATCTCAGCAACTATTAGTGCTCTAGTTGGTGGCATAAACCTGGGAGAATGGAGCCTATTGAAGTGGACTAAAGTCTCATGTAATAGCCGATTTTATTCAGGGCATCAGACAATTTCTATTTTGAGGGTATTCTGAGGGGTAAGCAAGGCTAAATAAGCAAAGGTCTCATGAGTTTAGGCTGTATATAGTCACTAGGATAACCAGTGCTTGAATAAAAATGATAGAGGATGGACAACCTGAAGTAAACCAACTCCTATTTACTACACTTGGGAGGGGCACAAAAGCACATTCCAATAACAATCCATGTTATGGAGGAACAGCAGTCACAAGACTTTTGCGTTGTTTTCTTTGCTTTTTCTCACAAGCTCTCAAAATTCTCTTTACATAACTTTATTCATGGAGGATGTTCCAATAGGCAACCTCACATAGAAAGTAGCATTCTAGCCAAAACAAAAATCGAGGTGGGTAACATGAGGGCGCAGAAATAAAGACATCTTCCAGTCAGAGCAAGTTCTGGTGGAGATAGCTGGATCCTCTAGCAATACCAAAAGACAGACTGAAAGGAATTCCCATCAGTCCCAATAAACTCACACGTCCCCATTTACAGTTAATATGATGATTAATTCGAGCCTTTATTTTTTGCTCACTTGGTTTAGTTGGAAACCAAATTCTTAAATGAGTTTCTCTTTGCTTTTAACCTACACAGGAAAGATGGATAAGGGTTGGCTGCACCAGTCTTTAGTTATCTGAAAATCAAACATATGGCTCAACCCTAAACTCAGAATCATAGATAGGAGAGGAAAATTTATCGGTAGAGATGAGTTATCAAAGTTGGGAAAATGGTGGAGAGCCTGGGAATTGGAATTGCCGGTAAAATGTGCTCACAATACAGTAACCTGATTCTTCCCAGGTGCCTTGGTCTGAGTAAAAGATTCTGGGCTCACATGGATGTTCTGATGTACTGCTGTTGTCTTCTGCAGTGGAGGTCTTTGTACTTTGTGTTGTAGGCATATAACACAGGAAAATGCTCTGAAGCAAGCTGTACTGAGATAATGCACTTGAAACAGTAGTTCAATGTAAGGCTCTGAAAATGGGAGCAAAGGTCTTCATTCTTACTGTATCCCACTTCAGTTTCTCCCATTCCACAATCCCCATTCCTTCACTTCCAAATGTGATGACACACCACACACACCCAGTAAAATTCCTTAAAGCTACTCCTATCCCAAGGCCTACTCACTCAGAAACTCAGCCTTTGTGACATCTACAGTTCCTCTAGACACATCCCCTTTGTAAGGCATTGCACCAGAGATACCTAAAACTCAGTAGTCTGGTCCTGATCTTATTGAGCTGATAGCATTCCAGGGTGTATATATAGACCTTGTAGAGAGTGATTGTTCTTAAGGGAGGACAGCAAATCAGTCAGATGCTGATCATTTCCTCTGGTCCAATTTGCTAAGGGGAGAAGGGAAAAACCAACAAACTTCTTGTACTTATGAAAGAAGAGGACCAGGAAGGAATGGGATGGGAAAGAGCCAAAGGCAGATTCCAAATGAAAGGCCATTTATCCCCAAATATTGCTGAGTCAGGGCTTGCATGAAAATGGTGCTGAAGGTGAATTATAAAAGGATTCAAAAAACACATTCAGACATTTTTATGAATAATATTCCTTTAAAAGCTTATATTTTCCAGTTTCTAAATTATGAGATCACAGAAAAGACAGTGTTTCTATCTTACCTCTTAGATTTAACTGGTTGCTTCTTGCTAACCCTTTTACTGCTTTGTGCTGATTTACTTGGCTAACACCCCTCCCCCGCAATTTCCTGTTTACTTCTCACATGAATCCCTTTTTGTGGCTGCTGTGTGCTCCTTAAATGTTCATGAGATGAATTTATTTTTATCAACAGGCTATAGATTTGTTCTTAAGAAGTAGATAGAATATTTTAGCTGAATTAAAGCAATTGAGAGGGTTAGACCTAAAAGCTTGCTGCACGCCCCCCCCCCCCCCCGAATAAATGAAAAGATTAAAGAAATGTTTAAACATACAGCTACTTCACACTGGGGTTTAAATTCAAAGATGCTCATTACCTTCAAGTCCTTTAGAAAGTACACCAGTGTTGTGTGAGAGAGGCAATTATACAATCTTTTATCTTTGGGGCAATGTCCTCACATCTGCAGCATCTTTCCACAGCGCTGAGCATGCTGGGTAACAAAAAGGAAAAGAAGAACATTTTGCCTGTAGCTGCCATGGTATCCATGGGAGATAGCTCTTATGAATGCAATCTAAATAAAGGAAACAGGCTCAAAGAAGTTTAGGTAATTATAAGGGCAGTGAAACCGGTGGATGGCAGATTGAGGTCTCCTGTGTCAGTCTCTCTGATAGCAGAGCCCATGCTCTGAGTGCTGCCTGCCCGGCAAGCTTGCCATTTGAGAGGCACTTTTCCAGGGGATCCCTTCTGGGCTAAGAACTGAAGAAGCAATCTTTAGAAAATGATCCTGCAGTTATGTTTATGAGTCTAGGAATGATATATAATTGCTATGAAATCCTGGAAAAAGGAAACTAAACAGACAAATAGTTTAGTCCACCCTTCTGGTATAAATATTGAATGGTATGAACAAAAATCAATGTATGCAGGCAAGGGCATATTGCTTGGGAGTTCAAAATCCTAGCTCAGTCTCAACTGCCCCATTTAAGGATCTGAAGGACCTTATACAAGTGGCTTGACAGTTCTGAGTAGTGATTCTGAGCAGAGTCTGCAGCAAGATTAACCAGATTGAAATCCTTCCAATCTAAATATCCTTTAGCAAATGATTTCATGTCTCTGTGCCTTGGCATTCTCATCTATTAAATGGGTATAGAATATTGCCTCATTACAAAAGTTTATTGTGGAAATAAATAAAACAGTGAGTATAATGGACTTTAAAACAATGTGTTGCAAATTACTGTGTAAGCATTAGCTCATTAAAGGTTAACTCTTTTGGAGAATGGATACAAAGCTCAGTGGTAGACTGTTTGCCTAACCTGGAAGAGATTCTAGATCTGACCTTCATCACCACACCAAAAAAAAAAAAAAAAAAAAAAGTAGTTAACTATTTTATTATTTGGCTTCCTAGTAACATAAAATAAGTTCTCCAAACAGATTAAAAAATAAAATATACACATTAACATTTGCATAAGCTACATGTATTTGAAGTGTATAAATATCAGTATATCTTTGCCAACATGTTAGCCAAGCTCTAGCTTCAAATGTTAACTTTGGGTACTTCTCTATGGAATCTCTTTTTATACATGAACACTTCGTGTCAGGGATTGCTTGTACCCATGGGATGTAAGTCTAGAACAACATATTATAATCATCTCTCTCTTTTTAGAGTGCCATTGATTGTTAACCCATCTACGATAATGAATAATGCCAAAATGTCTCCAGTCAGAGGTATTTCTTGGTGTGGTTGAAAAGGGATTAAGGGCTGCCTCTGTGATTCAGATTATCTATACAGCTTTAACATGTGACAAATATAGGTACTGTAAAAAAAATCCAAAAATTAGCAAGATATATCTATGCAAATATTTATCCACATGTTCATATCTGCAGGAATAAGGCTAAACAAATCCAAGAGCAGCTGAAAGAGTCACAGAATGGGAAAAACTACAGCCTCAAGGCATCCAGCACAATGACAAAGTCCGAGAGCTTGATGAAGAGCCATGTCCAGCTGCAAACTGTAAGCTGCATGTCTCTACATTCCTTTCCTTGCCCATCTTAGAATCTTAAGTACAGAAGAGATTATGGAACCTGTAATCAGAACTGTAGAATTGTTCACCACAATAGCAATTCTTACTTAAATCGTCTTGCAGTTGTGTGGATGTGTGTGTGTGTGTGTGTGTGTGTGTGTGTGTGTGTGTGTGTGTGTGTGTGTGTTTTCAAATACTAAATAAGAAAGATAATTCTAATCTTCCATAATAACTGAACTTTGACAGTGATAGAAGTTTTGGTTGCTTGTTCCATAAACCACTTGGGTCTTTACTTTGTACTAAAAATATGGTTGACGTACAATATCATACTTCTGGAGGCTGACTCACATCCAAGTCAGGTTCTAAAGGGAATAAAGAGTTCATGGTTAGGGTTAAAGGAGAAATGAGAATTGTGCTCACAGAGTCCCTTCTAATAGCTAGACTGTTGCTGTATGTGGGTCAGTCTGGAAGCCAAACACACACTCTGCCTGCTTCATTCTTTGAGAAGTACTTTTAGTCATTTTTGAGATACATTGCGAAATAGTGAATTAAACACAATGGGATGCTATCTAACACATGCTGAGACATGCCTTGTAAGGTTAATTCTTTGCCCCCACGTGAGATTCTGCTTCTAGATTCTGAGGCATGAAATGAAAGAACAAAGACCATGGTACAAACTGGGTGTTTGAGGATAATAGGCAATCACCCAGGCCGCATGCTTGCCCTTCCAAATGCTTAAATCACTGAGAATTTGCACATCATTTGTGATTCTAAGAAATCATTACCCAAAAGTTGCCATTATGATGAGTGTAACAGATGTACTTAGCTGATTTAATGTGAAATTCATAAATCTGAATTGCTTCCCAGCAAAGTTTCCTTAAACTTTTATTCATGGCAATGTGCAAGATTGTTCTGTTCAGAAACAAAGAGAATGCCTTTGCTAATGATTTCTAATGAGTATAATCCCAGCACCTTCAACAGCCACCATGATGAGGATTTCAGTTCCTTAGCAACTGGCCCTATGAACAATAAACAAAGCCAGACACCTGCAGAAGTAGCAGGGATAGACTGTAATCAGTAATGAAACGTCGAATAGGAAAAGGGGTCCAGCATGAACTATACTTAACTTCAATAGGTTCAGCAGTGACCAGGCCTTGTAAAGGGAGGAGGCAAGTAGTGAAACAGGGCTGAGCAAGGGCTTAATCAGAGGCAGGGAATTAAGAGTGCAAAGGGTTGGACAGTGTAAATGCCATCAGGCAGCTGGGTCTGCTGGCTAGCCAATATTGGAGTCAGAAATCTACCTTCCCACAAGGCTGGGACACAGAGCCTTACCCTTCCTGATGATTGCATTTCAAAGACTGGCCTCTAGGTCCCCATGAAGAACAATTTTTGAACTTAGGAGATCCACATTTATAATCATGAGCCCTTTTCAGAAAATTCTTTGGGAAGGGAAGCCAAGGACCTGTCATCAGATGTGGTGAGAACAAATCTGAAAGGCCTTTCAAGTTTCTTGAGTTCTGTATTGATCCAGGTGCTTTATGGGGGAAGAGACATTGTAGGAAAGGAGAAATGATGACTGAAAATGAAGTTAGTATTTGTGCAACAAGTGGATCAAAGCATACCTGGAGAGAGGCTACAGTTTCTATAGCCCATAGGCTAGATTTAATGGAAAGCAGTCAGGTCTGTTTTCTCTATGGTTGCCACACACTCATTTGAGATAACTGCATAATTGTCCACAAAGTGACCTCATGACACTTTCCTCATCCAGCCATTGTAATAAGCACACAGTTTCTCTCTATTGTTAATGGCAACATTAAAAGGAAAATTTCATTCATGTTGTCTCCCTTTTCTTCCCCTGACTTGAATATTATGATTCAAATTACAGTGAAGAAATGAGTTACCCATAGGATTCACAACATTTGAAAGACCTTCATCACATAGGATATTAGGACCTCTACACCTCTCCTCTGTAGCCTACAGGACCCAGGAGATCTTTGTGTTGACACAGGGTACAATGAGTCTCTACTGTATCATTTCCTCTGGGCTTCAGGGGATATGTAGATGGCATCTTCTTGTATCATCATCATTGTTTTACAGGAAAAGGACATGAGTGAAAAAACATGTTTGTTTCACTATTAGGTTCTCTCTGCTAGGCCCTAAACGGGAGAGAAATGAATCAGAGAAAAGAGTTTGATATGTAAATACATCATAAATCCAACATATGGAATACTCCAAAGTAAATGAGGCAAAGGGATATTTTCAATTTAGGCTTAAATAGCATTTTATGGTAAAGGAAAAGGAGCTTTGGGATTTCTAGGTGGGGAAGGCAGATTATGGGAATATAAGCAGGAACAATATGGGATTATTGTTAAGTTTGTTTTGCAGATTTTAGTGTCTTCCTTTTTGGTAAGAATTGTTAAAAGTCTTTGTCTCCTGGTGGAGCACAGCCAGATGTGTGTACATGTGGAATCTGCCCCACTTGTAGGGTTTTTCCTGTCTTCACTTGTTCTCAGTGACCTTTAACTCAAAATAGTCTGTATGGCAAAGAAGCATTTGGGGGTCATAAATTCTGGCAGTCCTCCAGTTATATGGCATTTCAGTAGAGTTGCAGGAGATAATCAGGGCAACAGGTTGAACAGAGGTTGAGAGACCTGGAGATGAATCCGCATGAAAGGAGAGCAGCTTGCATGGAAGAGCTAGATATACCCAGTGACTGCATCCTACACATTGCTGGCTGCCTGCCGTTCAAGGGATTAAATGAGAAGGTCCTTTTAATTATACTAGATTGAGGTGAACAAACTTCTTCCCACAGGGACGTGTCAATGTCAACCCTAGGAAGCAATGTGGGTGGTTGCCAGTTTTGTAAAATCCTTATCAACATTTCCTGTGCTAATTTATAGTGGGAAATTGAATTCTTTGAAATTTACATTCCTTTATTTGATAGTGAAGAATAATCTCTGTCTACATATTTCTGGTTAAATTTCATCTTTGGTGAATTGCATGCTCACAGACTTGGCTCACAGTTTTATTGCAAGAAGCAAACAGCAACTTGACTGCAATTTTTCACACTGTAAGTTGAGAGGAAACAGTGACTGGAAAACAGATATTAATTATTCCTTCAAAAGGAACAGTTGTGTTACTTCAATGCTATTCTAGAAAAATCATAAAAGGAAGTATGCAGGGAGTCTATGCCGTTGCAGGACTAGAACCATAGAAAAGACTTTAAAAGTTTTAGGTGGTTGACTATTAAAATGCAAAGGTGCTAAAGGTAATTTGAAAAACACATTTGTCTTATAAGTTTACATATATATTTACATATATATACACATACATATCATATCATATATACATACACATATATATTTTTTTCTTTCTGGCAAGAAAAATGAGGAGATACCAATGTCAATGATACATTGTTAAATATGAGTGTAGTACAAGCAGTCTGCTCAAGAAAGGATCTGTTACATAATTGCTCTGGAGGAGTAATATTTATTGGGAAAAAAGGTCTTCAGACTATGATGAAGGGTTGAGGTAGGAGAGGATTGAGAAAAATATATATTTAAAACACACACAAAAGACCATATATGCAAAGAAAGTTTCCCTCTTACAACCAAGAGAGGAGTGCCATTAAGATGGATAGGTAAACAGAGAGAGAAAGAGAGAAATTACTCTTCAGGGTAAGAAACATATTAGGAGATATATTAACTCAATGTGTATAGTACGGTAGGGTTATGAAGATATACTTCCATTCTACCTAGACTAAAAGTGGTACCCTGTATCCGTTTTCAAAGATTCCTATGGGAGGGAGGTCCCATACCCCAAACACCAAGCTTAGTAAGTAAGCTATACTATATGCCTGGAGCCAGGTGGCCTCTGATTCCAGGGAAAGCGGGGTGGGGGGACTGGCTCATTGTAAGAATGTTGAGAACTATAAGACTACACAGTTACAACAGGTGACATCCTATCTCTTTGTAGCAGCAAGTTCACGTGGGGGAGAGATTGCAGTGGGAGTGCACTGACTTGTAAGGCTGTTCAACATCTGTGGAGTCACCTACAGAAGAGTGAAATGGGCTGGGCGCTTGGGAAGGTCACTTCCATGAGCACACTAGTAAAGTGTCTCAAATGCAAGTGTGCATCTACGTAAGGCCATGGGCTCTCATGGGCTGTCAGCAGAGGGTGGTTTGTCTCTCTCATTTGGCACAGTCTAGGAACACTTGGAAGTCTTGGAAGAAAAGTGGTGCTGGAATGCACTGTCCACAAACTGGGGCCTCTGAAAACATCCTCAAATGCAGGAGCACCTTCCATAACCCAAAATTCTCTTTCCCAAAATGTCAGGGATGCTACAGATTGTCAGAGTCTATGCTCTGGTTGTGATTGTAATCATTGGAGACCTGTGAACACCACCCTCTAATGCCATTACCACTTTCTTCCTGTGAACACTTGGACATTTATCTCCATCCCAAAGAAGGTAACAGGGTACTTGAATCCACTATATGCTACTTGGTTATGATACTGGGCAAATCTTGAAGTGCAGGTTAACTACTCAAAAATTCTTTGCAAATTGCAATGTTTAACAAATAAATTATCTGTGTCTGGCATCCCTTCAGTTCATTAAATATTCATGGGAAAGATTTAACTCTACAGTCATTTAACAGGAGGTGAAACACATAGTCACATGATATCACATGATATTCTGTACACATTGAACTCTGGCTACAGATGAGAGTTGGTTATCCCTGCAGTGACTCAGAAGTAGACATCCTTCGCCTCCATTTATAAGTAGATTCTTTGTGACTTAAAGGTGAACTATTCTCATTAGTTCTGTCCTGGATGAGAAGGCACTGAGGATAGAGTTATGACCTCCAGAGCCATCGAGACAATAGTGTGAAACTTCTCAGAGGAGTTCTAGGATCAGATAGATAGTCATTAAAAGGGAGGATATTGGTTCTCCCATAAAACCAAGAAAGCATATTCGTAACCACAAAGAAAG